ATACTGTTTTCCAGAGTGGCTGCACCAGCTTGCATTCCCACACACAATTTTTTATTTAAACAAAGAGCCTCTACTAAGCTGGAACCCAACTAATGACTAGTGCCCATGGCAAAAGTCAAGTGTCGTTGGGTGTTTATTTAGTCACTAAATGAGTGGATGGATAGAGGAGGGAGAAAAAGAGTAGCCCCCAGGCCCCCTAACAAAGGTACGTGTTCCAGGCTATGATCTAAGCTGAGCCTTTCATTTGAGTTCTGAATAGTCTTTAGTTCCATGATTAAATTAAATTGGAAATAAATTTAGTCAGTCGTAGCATTACCTACTGCCCTTAATATATGCTGGTGTTTGCGTGTCTACTGGCAGGCTGTGGGGCCCAGCCTGGGATTTGAGAGAGCCAGGACTCTCTACGGGGTAATAGCTCTATTGTGTTTCACCCCGTGGACTCCAGGCAACTTATTACCACCAACCGCCCCCAACCCTGCTTCAATCCAACAGGCCTCCTGTGAAATTGGATGGCAGGCAGGAACTTTTGTAGCAAACTAGATATCGCCTGTCTTTTCTTGGCCACAGAGGACCCAGCCGAGTTGAGGGAAAGGGATTTTTAAGAAGAGGTGCTTTATTTGTGAAAGCCAACGAAATGAAGTTAGAGACTGCTCCCAGAGAAAGCTGGCTGACATAACCAAAGGGATTAGAGGTGGGGGAAGGGCCCGAGGGGAGCTGCTTGAGGCCTGGGTAAAAACAACCCAGCCAGATGGAGGAGCAAGATGGCATGTGAAGGAAGTCCCGAGGTCCCAAGGGGAAAGAGACCGACTTGTCCAGCAGAACTGGACCGGCAGAATTAGGGGGGGTCCTGTCCACACAGCTGGAACTGACCTCACTGCCAGACATCAGGGGTTCATTCCTACTCTCCCCCGCCCAGCTTCCCTTGGTGCCTCCAGCAAAGGCAGAATCTGAAACTAAGGGGACTGTGACCCTGACCCATTTTCCCCCTAACATTTCTTTCTGAAAATTATCAAACCTACAGAAAAGCTCTGAAAGACTTGCACATTGAGCGCTCATGTGCACCATCTAGATTCTGCAGTTAGCATTCCTCTACTGACTTTATCATATATCTGGCCATCCCTCTCTCCATCCGTCAATCTATTTTCCTTTTTGAGATGTTTCAAAGTAAGTTACAGAGAGACGCAGGTGCCTTTGGACAGTTGATTACAGTGGCATAGGAAAGGAGACATTTTGTTGTTACGTTTCTTGCCCCAGTTGTCACATATTTTCTCCAAAAAACTTCTTACCAACCTTGTGGAGCTCCCTCTTTTACTTCTGGGCTATCAACTTCAAAGGTCTCCAGGGGTCCTGGAGGCAATGCAAGGGACTGACGCAGCTCTGGTGTAAGGTTGTGGGGAGTAGCAGGAGCTGAGGGGGCCCTGGGAGCACCTGCTCCATAGAGAGGGGTGTCCACTGTCAACTCCAGCCCACTGCTGCCACATGAGACTCATGAGGATTTTTTGGGAGATCTTCTACATTTTAACTGTTTCCAAATAATGTTTACAGACTGGGTATCAAAGATGACTCTTGTGTATGAGTTTTCTGTAGTTGTCATGGCAGATTACCATAAACGTAGGAGTTTAAACAACACAAAGTTATTCTTACAGTTCTGCAAGTCCGAAGTCCAACATAGGGCTCCTTGGGTGAAAATCAAGGTGGTGGCCAGGCTGTGTTCCCTCCTGGGGGTTCTGGGGGAATCTTGCTTATCTGGGTTGTTGGCAGACTTTAGTTATGAAGAGTGAGACCCCGTTATCTTGCTGGCTATCAGCTGAGGAGTGTTTCCACCTTCTAAAGGCTGCTCACCTTCCGTGGCTTATGAGCCCCTCCTTCAGTCTTCAAAGCCAGCAGTGGTGAATTGAGTCCTTCTCACAGTTCCATTCTTTGCCCCATCCTTCTCATCTCTCCAACCCAACCAGAAAGGTTCTCTACCTTTAAGGACACTCGTGGTTACATTGGTCCCCCTTGGGTAATCCAGGGTCCTCAAAGTCATCTCAAGGTTCTTAACCTTAACCAGATCTGCAAAGTCCCTTTTGCCACATAAGGTAATATATTCATAGTAGACATTTCTCCAAAGAAGGTAAACAAATGGCCAAGTAAGTATATGAAAATATACTCAACACCATTAGTCATTAGGAAAATGCAAATCAAACCAAAATAAGATAACACTTCACACCCATGAGGATGGCTATAATCAAAAAGATGGACAATAACAAAAGTGGAGAAATTGGAACCCTCATAGGTTGCTGGTGGGAATGTAAAATGTTCTTGCCACTTTGGAAAACATTTTGGCAGTTCCTTGAAGAGTTCAGCGTGGAGTTACCTTATGGCCCAGCAGTTCTACTCCTTGGTATATACCCAACAGACCTGAAAACATGTCTACACAAAAACTTGTACATGAGTGTTCATGCCAGTGTTATTCATATAGCCAAATATCAGTCAACTCAAATTTTAATCAGTTGATGAATACATAGATGAAATATGGTATATCCATGCAGTGAAATGTTATTCAGCCATAAAAAGAATGAAGTATCAATCCATGCTAAACATGGATGAACCTTGAAGACATGTTCAGTGAAAGAAGCCAGGCACAAAAGACCACATAATATATGATTCTATTTGCATAAAATGTCCAGGATAGGAAAACCCGTGGAAACAGAAAACAAACTAGTGGTTACTAAGCCTGAGGGGAGGGGAGAATGGTTAGTGACTGCTAATGAATATGAAGTTTATTTTGGGGGTGATAGAAATGTTCTGGACTTAGTGGTGATGGTTGTACAACTTGGTGAAGTATGTTAAAAAGTACTGAATTAGACACTTCAAAAGGGTGAATTTTATGTTGAGTTTTATGATATGTGAATTATATCTCAATTAAAAAGGAGATTCAATATATAAGATTAAGCATAAGTAAAACTGCATAGTCTTGTATATTAAATATAAAACTTTAGCATGAACTCATGATGAATCTACTAAGATATATTTTTGACTCTGACCAGTGTAAAGGCGTAGAAACCATAACCAACCTAGTAGTTAATGAAGGCCCTTAGTGTCCGTATTGCAGGATCCAAATGGTGATATCGATGATAATCAGGAGCCAGGGTTCCTTGGCAGAATGACTGATCCACGTGAGGGCAGAAAATATACAAGTTAAGCCTGGAGCACCTTTTATAATCTTTATCAGAAAGCAAGGAAGTTATCAGTACTCTGGGGTCATATCCAAAGGACTAGGAGCCAACTTGAGGAGACTCTCTTGGGCTAATGATGGTTTTATTTGGGAACCAGAAAGAATAATATTTGCAGTGAACTGAAACATATTATGTTAACATTTATGACCTCCTAATGAAAACAGATAATTGGCTGTCTTTGGAAGATGCTGGGGAGTCGAGTCATTCTAAAAACTGATAATCAAGAATGTATCATGTCTTTCATGTACTTCGGGGTAAACAAATTGTTGATGTGGTCATTTTTCTTCATTGTAGTATCCCTGCTAGAAAATCAAGAATGATAGAATAAGAGTATCACCATTTTAAAAACCTCCAGTGAAATGAAGGATTTAGACATTGGTCATCGGTGGCCACCAACATCACAAAAGGAAAGATAACTGGACAGTATGTTTTTCCTTTGGGATGCTCACACCACTAGGAAGAGGTTGCCAGAATATCTCATCAAAGTAGGTCACGTCTCTAGATCTAACCACCAAAGTACTGGAACCAAGGAAGAGTGGACAGAGGAACGTGTTCAGAGACACCACAGCAACCCAAGCAGCAAAATGCAGACTGTAGGAAATCCAGTAGGGCAAAGGACCCAGTTTCTTCAACAAGTACATTGTAAAGAAAAAAAGCGACTTAGAAGACACATCAGCTAAAGGCAGCATGTGGGCCTGGTCTTGATCCTGATTTAAGCAACTGTAAAAAGACGTAAGAAGAGCAGGGGAACTTGAGCACCAACTAGATATTTGATGACACTAAGGAACTGTGTTGATTCTTTGGGGGTGTTACAGTGATATTAAAGGCCCACAGGGCACGGCCTCCAACCCCAAGCTTACCATGTGCCTGATGGAGAGCAGAGGAGAAAATGTGCAAGCCGAGCCCAGGGAGGGAGAGCAGAGGGGACCGAGCCAGTGAAGCTGAGTCCGTTCTTCCAAACTCATGGATAAATGGTTTCTCCTCCACTGGTGAGGAATGTGCAAGGGGTAGGGAGAGAGGCCAGAGTTGGACTGAAGCTCTATCTTCCACTGGGAATCCTGAGGATGGGTAGCCACCTTCCTGTGGCTGTTGAGGCTTAAACAAGATAGCACATGGAGAGCGCCAGACCCCATGTTGCTCCCTCAGCGCTGGCTGGCTTTGGTTTGTAACTACTCTCCTACAGAGTCAGGGGGCTCTTGCATACATATACCTGTGTACTGTGTGTGCAGGAACTGGAGGCCAGGCTTCGGGATGCTAGGTGGAAGGAGGTTCTGAAGTGACTGAGGTATCCCTGGCTCTCACTCATTCCCTAAAGGCTGGAAAGGAGTGGGCTTTGCAGTTAGCCAGTTGTTGAGTTCTGTTGGTGAGAGGAGAGCTGAACCTGACCTCTCCTTGTCCCCTGTGTCTCCTTCTAGCTGCAACAGCAAGCGCTACCTGGAGACACTCCCCAACACCAGCATCATCATCCCCTTCCACAACGAGGGCTGGTCCTCCCTCCTCCGCACCGTCCACAGTGTGCTGAACCGCTCGCCCCCGGAGCTGATCGCCGAGATCGTGCTGGTTGATGACTTCAGTGATCGAGGTAGGGCCCACCCCCCCCCATCTTCCTGACCCCCACGCTCCATCGAGTGACTGGCCAAAGGGGTGGCCGGTTTTCTTCTTCAGCAGCAGGAATGTCTGGGCCACCGTTCACTGATGCTTGCTCTGTGCCCGGCCATGACCGTGGCCCTGTATACAGTATCTCACAACAGAAGTAGGTTCTGTTTTTATCCTGTTTGTAACAATGTAGAAGTGTACTGGAGTGCAAATACCAGAAAACTTGATAAACTTAGGCACAAAAGGGGTTCAGTCATTCATTAATTTCATAATAAGACCCAGAATTGGTACACCTGCCTCAGACTGTCATCAAAGAACCAGACTTCTCTGTGCCTGCTTCCTCATCCTCATGGTCGCAGAATTGCTGCTATACCTATGGAAAGTCTGCCTTTCAGACAAGAAGCAGCAGAAAGGGCAAAGAGAACAAAGCCTCATTTTTTTTTCCCAAGATTTTGCCTTCTTATTCAGGAAAGTCTTCTCCCCCCCACCCCCCAGGGAAAGATTTTTGATCAGAACCCTGACATCCAGGCATCCCTCTCTGCCGGGGTGGCTGGAAATATGAATGTTTTGATTTGGGGCCTCTTGAGTAGATGTAGGAAAGGGAGAAGTGCATTAGAGAAGGTGTTGAACGAGCCCATTTTGCAGAGGAGAAGACTGAGATACTTGCCTGCTCTGAGTGGTCTCACTGACGTGGTCTTTCCTAAGGGAAAGTAAGTAGGGTGTGATAAGGCAGTAAGGGTGATACTCACTTACTCTCGCCGTCTGTGTACCAGCCACAGCTGGGCCCTCTCTCATGGGGTGGACCAAGTTCCGTCCTGCCTTGGTATCTACTCATGCTGTTCCCTCTGCCTGGACACCCTCTTCCCAGCCCTTCCCATGAGCGGCTACTCTCACACCCTCTTCAGTTAGGTGCCCCACCCCCACCACCATTCACTCTTCTCCATGCATAGTTGCACAGCTACTTGTTGACCTGTTGTCAGTCCTGCTCACTAGGTCACTAGATCATTTGCGGTCTAGAGCAGGTGATTCAGAACTGTTTGCAAATTAGTGAATGAATGAACCAGGAGGGAGGAAGGAAGGAAATGCATGGCAGCTACACCCTCACCACATAAAGCCACATTAGTAGCAGGGTCGTCTTCAGCCACGGAGACAGATGTGGCTGTGGAAGACACAGACGTTCCTTCTGTGACTGGTGCTAGCCTTGTGTCTTTGTGCTCCGCCTCAGGAACCTGTCACCTGTTTTCTGAAGCATCAGCTGTCCTGGGGGTAGACCCACAGCACTTGGCAGGATCCCTCTCGAGGACATTAGTCTTCCAGAGGGAGAATAAACCAAACATCAGCTGGATTAGAAGCGAGCGTTTCTCCTTGAACAGCTAGAAAGAATTTTTTTTATTTTTTTTAATGTTTATTTTTGAGAGAGAGACAGACAGAACGTGAGTGGGTGAGGGGCAGAGAGAGGGAAATGCAGAATCCGAAGCAGGCTCCAGGCTCTGAGCTGTCAGCACAGAGCCTGACACGGGGCTCGAACCCATGAACTGTGAGATCATGACCTGAGCGAAGTTGGGTGCTTAACCGACTGAGCCACCCAGGTGCCCCCGAATTTTAAGACCATCTAGGCTACTGGCTTTCGCTGTGCGTCTCAGAGCACTAAGGGCACAGGGGTGCCTTGGGGAGCACCGTGGGCAGTATGTGCAGGTGCAGGTGGGGTGCAGATCCCTCTCTCGGCACGGTTTATATTTGGTTCCTGAAAAGGTGTTCACTAAGAGGAGCCGCACTGCTTAAAAATGCGTAATGACCACAGATACAACTGAGCCTGCTCATTTTACAGACGGGAAACCCGAGGCCGAGAGCAGTGGAGGGCTTACCTAGAGCACCCAGCTGGTGGTTGCAGACGGGACAACAGTCCCGTCTTGGGGCTCCCAGTGAGGCCTGTGCCTCCTCAGCTCAGCTGTTTATGAAAAACATCTGCAGAAGTGCATTTTACTCTTTTCTTTCCCCAAGGCCACTTCTCAATAAATTACTTTTCCAGCGTATTAAAGAGCAGAGTTGTTGCTAAAAAGAGCTCATTATCAAGCACATCCAGTCCTAGACTTACGATGGTTTGCACCTCTAATATCCCAGTTTCTTCAGTGTTGTACTTGGTGATAAAAATAACATGACACACCCACCCTCCAATAATAAAAGAATGTGACAGTCTTGAGAAAGAGGTAAATTTAGTAAGAATGACATTTTCCAAGTGCATCTCTTTCTCCAGAGAGCAAAAATATGGATCCTGTGTGGTGCCGTTGCCAGACCCTAATACGATACGGAAGAGAACAGATACTATCCCATTTCACAGATGAGAATGAGAACTAAGGCCCCTGAATGTTGCCCCTTTGTCTCAGTGAATCAGGCGTGCACCCCAGAGAACTCTTACCTCAGGCCCCTCGGTCCTACACATTAGCTGTCAGATTTTGCAACCTGCATTTTTCAGAAAGGTAATCATCATTCGTGTTCTGAGAAGAAATTCTTAAGGCAGCTTTGGAAGAAAACTTACTCAGCAGTGATTGTTTTAAAAATGACATTTGGGAGAAGCAATTTCAGAACTATGGAGAAGCCTGTCCAAAGTACGGCAAATGTGGGCCATCACGAAAGACAGATTTCTCTGGGCCACGTGAGCAGAGGCAGTTCTCAGCGTTGAAATTCATAGATGCTAACAACGGGCGAGATTGGTGCTGCCCAGCAGAAGGCATCTTCCTCTGAAATGAGTCTCCTCCAGGATCCTCAGGGCAACTAATTGTAATTCAGCTAAGGGTTGAGACCTCAGGTAGGAGACAAAATTGGAGCAGATGAATGCTTGAAATGAGAACCAGAGCTCTGTGCAGGCAGCACCGGGGACAAGACTGGAGGCTGGTGCTGGCCTCACAATAATCCCGGCCTTGCCTACAGATAGAGCACTGCAGTTTTCCAGGGGTGTCCAAAAGCTCTTCAAATGTGTGAGCTTTGCTTGAGGATTAAGAGGACACAGAGATGCTTTTGCATGAGTGGGAGAGAAAGACAAGGGCGGAGGGGGGCAGACCTGCCTCCAGACGGCACTGCCCGGATGGCAGATTTTTTATTAGGAGACACGACAGAGGCCTTTTTGTTCATTTGTATTTTTCTGTTCCTTTTCTCCTTTTCCTGCCCACTTTCAAATAGTGTTGGTTTTGCAGAAAAATAGGATATGCAGTAATGGAAAGGGTTATTGTCCTTGGATGAATGGTGGGCTACCTGGGATGATGAGGTACAGAAATGAAAGGCGTTGGTATGATCTCATTGACAGTATTTTCCTCAACTCTAGTCCCTATCAGTAAATGAACAAACAAACACATGGAGAAGGAAGTCTTTGTTTGTTTGTTTGTTTGTTTGTTTGTTTGTTTGTTTGTTTTGAGAGAGAAAGGGAGAGGGCTGTGCACCAGTTGGGAAGGGGCAGAGAAAGAGGGAGAGAGAGAGAATCCCAAGAAGGCTCCACACTGTCAGCACAGAGCCCGACCCAGGGCTCCCATCTGACTATTGAGAGATCACAGCCTGAGCTGATGCTTAACCAGCTGAGCCACCCAGGCGCCCCCTTAGAAGGAATTCTTCAGCAGGTGTTTGTAGAGCTATTGATGGGTCCCTGGCAGTGAGTGGTGCTGGGGGGATTACAGACACTGCTGGACCCACTGGCTCACACAGTAGAGACCCTCACCAGTGAAGCCAGAGTCAGGTCCTCTTTCCCATGATGGACTTATAAATTCTGACATGCACTCTTATACCAGCCCAGTCATGGGAGCACATCAGGGAATCCATTCTGCCCTGCCCTGGTCTGCATTTCAACATACCGCTCTTGACCCTGCCCCTAAGCATCCGCATCTGTTCCTCTCTCAGCCTTCATTTGCTTCCAGGACCCCACCGCCGTTGGGGTGGCTATTCCCCACCTCCACTGTATCGCTTCAGTTCTTTCGCCATGAGTTTTGTATTGCTTATTTTGTTTTTCCCTTTACTTGTCCTGATTTAATTCATCTTCGTATATTCAACGACACTCATGAATCAACTGTTGCTGATGCTGTGCTAGATGCTAGGGATACAGCAGGGCTGACACAGTCTTCTCCACAAAGACTCACATCTAGATGGGCAGACAGACGAGGTAAGAGACCATTGTAAGACCATGGAGTGTGTGACCCTTGGTGGAGAGCCAGGTACTGTGGAGCACAGAGAAGATCAGGAAAGACTTCCAGAGAAAATTCTAGCTAAACTCCATCCTAAGAGATCAGTAGATACTACTTCCTGGGGTATGGGGTGAAGAGTATTTGAGGCTGAGAGGACAGCATGAGCCCAGGCTAGGAGTGAAGGAGAAAATATGCAAAGTCCAGAAAGAGCCGTCTGTAACCTCATCACCTGCAGGCAATTACTATTAACATTTAGGCTTTTTCCCCCCCACCCTCGGGTTTTTAATAGACTTTACCTTTTAGATCAATTTTAGGTTCACTGCAAAGTGAAGCTGAAAGTAGAGAGTTCCCATATACCCCTCCACCCCCACCACACACGTAGCTAGCCCCTGGCCCCCATCAATGCCCTGCACCTGCATCGGAGTCACATTTGTGACAATTGATGGACCTACGTTGACACATCACCCAAGGATATAGTGGTATACTGGGGTTCACTCTTGGCGTTGTACATTCTGTGGAACAAATGTATGATGGACATATATCCACCATTAGAGGGTCCTACTGAATAGTTTCACTACCTTAAAACTCCTCTGTGCTGTGCCTGTTCCTCCTGCCCTCCCCCTAACCCCTGGCAGCCACCGACCTGTTTGCTGTCTCCATGGTTTTGCCTTTTCCAGAATGTCTAATATAACTGGAATCATACTCCAGGCAGCCTTTTCAGATTGGCTCCTTTCACACAGTAATATGCACTTAAGGTGTCTCCATGGCTTTTTATGGCTTATAGCTTGTTTCCTTTTGGTGCAGACTAATATTCCACTAT